TCGTCTATTAAAACCACGATCAGGATGATCATCGGCGAAGCATGCATTCTTTAAATTGCCCCCGGCTCCAAAGTTGTTGGCTCATGGTTCTGCCACACACTCCAAGGAAGAATAGCCGCGTTTACATTTACCGCTGCGCGCGAAAAAGTAATTTGTTGAAGTTGGAAGTTGCTCTTCGCAAATCATGCGCTTGCGTGCCGCAGAAATGTTTGTAGAAGGCCAGTTCACTGGACTTCAATCCATTCAAATGAGTGACGCTAACCGCCACACAGAGTGAATCAAGTTCGGCCCTGCCGCCTGGGGACCCCCCCCCGCCCGTTGGTTTGAGTTGGGGGGCCACCCACCAAAAACTGCCTGCCGCAGCATGGACTCGCTAAAGTCCAGGGCCACCACCTGCCACTGAACATCTGAAGTGCTCACGTGTGATGGAGGTTTCTTCAGCATTATCTCTGACAGCTCAGAAGTTCGTTCAGCAGGAGCAGATTTGAGGCGCCTGCGACTAGACTCAACCTGGGAGATCACAGCATATACAGCATCATGTCCAAGCTTTCCCCCGCAACAGAATGCTTGTTCGCAACTCAACGGAAAGGCAGCTTAACCTCAACAACTGGTGGAGAATAGGTACGGCGCCATTCACGACAAGTAGGTTCAGCCAACCTTATACCCTAAACAGGGAACCCTAATCATGGACAAGCTGACAGCTTGAGCAACATGCAATTCGCAGAAAACTTGCTGGCAAGCTCCGACGTGTGGGGGGAAGTGGAGTGAGCGGAGTGAATGGAGTAAGTGGAGTGAGTGGAGTGAGTGAAGTGAGTGGAGTGAGTGGAGTGAGTGAAGTGAGTGGAGGGAGTGGAGTGAGTGGAGGGATTAGAGGGATTCGAAGGGAGGGAGGGAGGGAGGGAGGGAGGGAGGGAGGGAGGGAGGGAGGGAGGGAGAGGGAGGGAGGAGGGAGGGAGGGAGGGAGGGGAGGTGGGAGGTGGGGGTGGGAGGGACGGAGGGAGGGAGGGTGGGAGGGTGGGAGGGTGGGAGGGACGGAGTGAGCGAGTGAGCGAGTGAGCGAGTGAGCGAGTGAGCGAGTGAAGGAGTGAAGGAGTGAAGGAGTGAATGTGGATGTGAGTGAGTGAATGTGAGTGAGTGAATGGGTGGGGTGGGGTGGGGTGGGGTGGGGTGGGGTGGGGTGGGGTGGGGTGGGGTGGGTGGGGTGGGGTGGGGTGGGGTGGGGTGGGGTGGGGTGGGGTGGGGTGGGGTGGGGTGGGGTGGGGTGGGGTGGGGTGGGGTGGGGTGGGGTGCGGTGCGGTGCGGTGCGGTGGGGTGGGGTGGGGTGGGGTGGGGTGGGGTGGGGTGGGGTGGGGTGGGGTGGGGTGGGGTGTGGGTCCGTCCGTCCGTCCGAGTGAGTGAGCGAGCGAACGAGCGAGTGAGCGAGTCAATGACTGAATGTGGATGTGAGTGAGTGAATTCGAGTGAGTGAAAGTGAGTGCATGGGTGAGTGCATGGGTGAGTGAGTGAGTGAGTGAGTGAGTGAGTGAGTGAGTGAGTGAGTGAGTGAGTGAGTGAGTGCGTGCGTGCGTGCGTGCGTGCGTGGGTGGGTGGGTGGGTGGGTCGGGTGGGTGGGGTCTGGGTGATTTTGTGAGTGGGTGAGCGGTGACAGTCAAGTAGACTGAATAGCCAGCAACCATCAGGGTTAGAAGCAAAAGTTGGAGCCTGAGTGGCAGTTGGGGTCAGCAGCAGTAGCAGTAGCACAATGGCAACGAGCCCGAGAGTTTTGACGGCATCGCCCCTCTCCCGGCGCGCCGTGGCGTAGTCGCCGGAGGACACAAAGCGACGGCTGAAAAGCCCGGAGCCGCAAGAGGCGTCAAGCAGGGTGTCCTGGCTCCCCACGCGCCCCCACGCGCCCCCAGACACCTTCAACCAGGGGGTCGGCCCAGGGAAGAAGATTCGCAACTTTGCAGGTTTAAAGCAACAAGCATGCAATACAGCCCACGGTGACATGCAAAGGATTCCTTCATAAGCGAAGCCAACTCTGCGGGCGAGTCCTCTCACGGACCCAGCTTAATGTCTCCTAGGCATGGGAATGCAGTAATTACCCTGATGCACCAGAAGCGCAACCAGAAGCGACGCTTCCAAAAATGGTTGAAAGTAGTGGGTGTAGCCCCCTTCACCTGAAAATTGTGCAAGCTACTTCAGGATTTGCATGACGCAGGTGATGGGTTGGATGGGAGCCAGGAAACGTCAGGAAGGTCCGTGAGGTCGCCCATTCTGCCGAGATCAGGCGCCAGTGTTTTGTGCGTGGTTGTTGTTTCTTGCGTTATCCACCAAGTCACTATTTGTTTTGCAAAACCAAAGGATTCTGCACTTGAGTTGCTCTGATTCGACTAGCATGTCAACATTGATATGCCTATTTGGGCATTGGTGCTTTGAAGAGAAGGTAGCAATCATAATGAAGAAACAGGGCCTGTACCCCAAATGCATACCCATCTAGCCAAACAGCCTTGCGTGGGAATCGAAAGGTTGCTGTCACTCGGGCGTCCTTGCCAAACCGCCCTTAACGGAGCTCGACATCTGCCATCCCTAAGATGACATGCCACTCTTCCGCCCTGTGTCATCTTCGGCGGTCCCCCAGCAGGCCAGTACCTTCCTTCAGGAAGTCTTGGGCCTGGGCTGTCACTCAGCAAGAGCGTGATAGCCAAGCACTGCCCTCGCAAAGAGCTGTGATTGCCGTAAACAATCTGAGTGAAGAAAGGGGTCCTTGCGCAGCATGGCCCAAGCACACCACAAACTTGCGTTGCTTCTTCGGCTGGACCCATAGGAGCTTTGAGTGTTGACTCACTCCGTCCGCCGCAGTCCTATTGCAGAAGGCCGCTCGGGTTCCACCATAACGCGCAATCTAGCCAAAACCTGCCTGTTTGCTTTCCGTTCGGCATCAGTCAGCAAGGGTTTATGCACTAGGGGAATATTGGTCGCCCATACTCATCCATCAAGTGTCCAGTTCCTCATTCATTCCACCACTGCACAAACGAGAACATGTTGGTGGTTACAAGTTTACTGGCTTTATGCTGGGTGGCGTCTCCGGTCCAGTCGTGATGCTTTCCTTCACCCTCTGCCCCCAACCGCAAGGCGCCGTTGCCGGGGTTGGGGCTCCGGAACCTCCGGGGGCTCCGGGGCTCCTCCGGGGGCTCCGGGGGCTCCCGGCCAGCCGGAACTCCTCGTCCGGCCCAGGGAAGCCAGAGCCTCGACTGGCAGACCGTTCCGCAACACTGTCAAGGCTCGCCTACCGAGAGCTAGCCTCGGCTTCATCCAATTCAGTCTGCGCAGCTAAGGTGAGAAGACAGTCAGGCATACGCCCAGTCAATCGAAAGGTCACGTCTTTGGAGAGCCCATTGCCGCACTGAGTGAAGAGGGAACGGTTCAGGATCCAACACGTGGTCATGCGTGCAAGCTTGATGCGAACTGCTTCAGCCTACGTGGCATGAAAGAAAGCAAAAGGCCTACGCAAAACAGCTCTCACACACAGCGCGCCAGAAGACCGCTCGCTTGTCTCAAACAGCTGGGCACAAAGCAAATGCCGACCTTGAGACAAACCTGCACCAAAAACATGAGTTGCCAAACAGACCCAATAGTAGCGCACACGGCAGCAAAACCGAACCGATGCAACTCGCCCCTTATCTTGCAGCCGCAGCTCTGGCAAAGCTGCGGCGCCAGCCCCGCTCGTAGGCAAAGGATACTAGCCTTGGGAAACAAGCGAAGCAATGTGTGATTCCCTGAATGCCGGAACAGAGACAATGATGTCATTGCTTCAGGGAACTCTATAGCAGGCACAAAGCACACACCTCCAGAATAAGAATGATCCGTTTGAGGACAGTCGCACAAACCAAAATGATTATGGTAACGGTTTTGTTTTTCCCATTTTTAATGCCACCACGCAGTGCTCTAGGGGGACCCACTGCCTTGACCAGAACTTGAATCTCAGGGCTGAGTCATACTCCAAAGCAGCCCTGTGTGCAAGATGGCAAACTGAGAACTATCTGATGTCTGCACTGTCGGTGGCAAGGTTCGTCCGAGGTTTTCGCTCGCATTTGCCCCCCGAATCCGTGAGAACGCCGCAAAATGTGCAGAATGCCCATTGGGCTGCTCTACGCGCCAGGCGGATTCTGGAAGGTGGAGGTGCCGGCCGGCTGCAGCCGCCCGCTCAGCCTCGCGTTTGAGGGACCTGAGGCCTCAACCTGCTCTCCTGAACAATTCCCCAAACATTGTCGTTTCCCTTTGGACTGGCGAAAAGGATGCTTTCAACTGCCAAGTTGCATCTTAAAGTGACTCGCAGCAGAATCAAACATCCCTTGGCAGAACTGCTGTTGTGTTGCGTTGGATGAAGGTGCCTCACTGTTGATTGGTTCAGATTGGTCTGAGGTCAGCGCACGATAGTTCCAAAATGATTCAGCATTGACTTGCATTGAGCCCTTTCTTTCAAGCATGTTGGCCCATTCACACTTGGATTTGGTCGAGCCTCTCAGGCTTCTTAAGTCAGCTGAGACGAGATGGATGAACACCACCTTCAAAACACAGGGGAAAACACGCAACGGCGTGTAAACCTTCTGAAGGCTGCGCAGCACGTCAAACAGCAATGCATAAAACCGAAGATTGCAGTGTATGGATGCCACGGGGCGGTCCTACCAGGGGTGTGGGAATTTGTGGGAGCCTGGTGCCGAGGCGCCGGCACACGCTGCGGCTCCTGGATAAGCTCCCGACCTAAGTGGATGTGAGTGGGGTGGGGTGGGGTCCGGTGGGGCTGGCAATTTGCTTTAAAGGTCTTTCACTCGCAGCATCCAGAAGCCTGAAGTCAACCTGCCAACATTCAAGTAAACTCCAAACCATGTCCACCCAAGGAGCCATTCATTCACATGCCAGGGCCCGCGCCCAGCTTTTCCACGTCCCTGGACTGTGGCAAGCCCAGCCTGGCAACGGCGTTTTGCACCTCTGACCCCCATGCAAGCAAAGCACACGAGCTCAAAACCGGGCCCCTCAATAATACCAGAATCACTAGGGGTGAATAAAATGGTGGCCCCGTAAAGGGATGAGCTGGCCTGGAGGTATGCCGCAACACCTTGGACAAACTTAAGCAGTCCGTCAAGCGGCCTCTTGGCCCTCTTGGCATGCCAATCGAGCTTGACCAGCTGGGACACCCTCTTGGCTCTCTTGCAGCTCATTTGCCCCTGCTTCCCCTGGAGAAACCGAGCTCCGGATGCCCACGGGCAAGCCTCTCTGCGACAGAATCAGTGAAATCCACGAAGGGAAGTTGCCTCAGGGCCGCGCAGCTCATGGAAACCCTGCAGCGAAAGCAAGAGGAAACTTGTAACATGCAGGAAGTGATTGTGACATTAATGCACACCGTCTCGCGCTCTGCTAGCACCAGATCCGATCTAGATTTGGGTTTAGCCGTAAATACGGCGCACTGGGCTGCAGCCCTTTCCCCTTTGATAAGACTCGGCTTGCACAAGTAAGTCAGCTGGCCAACGTCCAAACACTGCTTGGAATTTGTGCAACAACAAGCGCCTTGCTGCCCGCCAGGAAGAAAAAGAAACTATAGAAGAAAGGAGGCCAAAAGCATAACACATAGCAAGCCAAGTACGTTCGCTGCGCTTCTTCTCTGCGAAAGCTCGCTCTGCAAGTTTCTCTGCACAAGTTCTCGGCTCAAGTTTCTCTGCTCACGCGCAAGTTATCGATGCAAATTCTCTGGGCGAGCTGTTAGTGCATGTTTCTCTGCGCAGCAAGTGCTCTGTGCAGTTTCTCTGCGCAAGCTCTCTGCGCAACTATCTCTCTCCAAGTTGCTCTGTGCAAGTCTTTCGCGCGCACGCGTCGTTCTCAATGCAATGCAAAGGGTCGTCCTCCACGCAAGTACCAAGAGTTGACATGCAGTGAGGGATGGTCGAACTCGTTTTACTAGGGCAATGTCTACGTTTTGCCGCTGCGAGTGGTTTGCCTCTCATGCACCTTGCTGCGCAATAAGGCCAACGATTTTACCGGAAGAACCCTTCACAATGCTTCCGGGAAAACAAAACAATGAAAGCCCAAACTGTCAGGCCCCCGGTTGCCCAGTGACCGTAGGGCTGAAGCCGCACGAGGGAATTTGGGGGTGCCGCTGAACGGTCTGGACTACGGAATTCCGCGTGCTCAGGCCAGCGCTGCAGAAAGCCTGGCTCATCGCTCTCAATCGTGGCCTGCGTTGCGCATGGAAGCGGTCGATTTACCCGATTGTCCGAATGCGAAAAGTGAGTCCCCAAGTTTCAGGGAGAAATTAGTGAGTTCCCCAAACTGACCTTGGTCTAGTGGATGGTTCGACCGAACCTTGGTGGGACGCTCTCAAACTAAGGCAGCCGCTCTGTCCCCTTATGCTTCCCCACACCCTCGCACCGCAATCGCCAGCTGGCCGGTGGAGAAAAATGGACGGAAAGACTTTGCTGGCTGTTGACACCTTGGCCGGCTCTAGCGCACACGGCACACGCCCATGCCTCGATTCGAGTAAGCTCCTGAGGCAAAGCAGAGGCGTCAACACTCCCACGATGCAGCAATACGTCTCAAGCCCTCCAGGACCGTGAACACTCCGCACCGGCTCGGATGCCGACAGAGCCCCATTTCATGGGCGCATGATGTGCAAATCTGCAACTAGGCCCCTCCGTGTTCGGCAAATCCAGCACCTTGCCACGCCCTTCCCTGCCCCTTGCCCGATTCCGCTCCTCGGGCGCCCGCGCGGAGCTAATGGTCAGATCCTGAAGTTGGCCACGGGGCCATGGTCTGTTGCCACCGTCGCACGCTCGATTCCGCAAACGGGGGCTCTGGCTCCCTCCGTAGTTAGGATCTAAACTGGCTGTTGGTTCACTTAGACTCTTGCAGCATGCAAGGGAAAGCAAGGTGGGGTGCGCCTTCACATTGAAGGAAGGGGGTTCTGTGCCAAATGCGGCACACACATGACTTGGACCGTCCAAGTCCGAAGAGGTTGTTTCTCCCTCATCAACATCAGAGAGCTGTTCTGGAACATCTGGCCATGCAGCATTGCAGAAATGTTGCCCTGCATCACCACTCCTACTTGCAAAACCGTTACCTTTGGGATGCTGCACGATAAGGACTGTGCCCAACTGGCAGGACTGACTAATGCCGAGGCCTCATAGAAATCAAGCCATGGAGACAACACTTTGTCAGGGCCCGTTCTCATCTTTTTGGAAGATGGTAATAGCTCTTCTGATTCGCGCTAAGCACCGAGGCCCCCGGCCAGAAAGGCCCCGACCCGGGGGAACCCAACGCCGCAAGACTGGCACCTACGATATCGGTGGCAAAGGAACTTAGCCCCCCAAAAGAAACATGGAAGCTGAAAGAGGGGCCCTGTTGGAGGAACTTTCAGACTTCACGTCTTCTGTTAAGAGGGTAGTGACGAGCAACCTGTGACAATTATGGCTGCCAGGTGCCACGCAGACCAGCGAGTCTGGAGGCTGCTTGTACCGCAGCGAGTTTGATGACCTACTTTGAGCTAAAATCAGCCCGTAACATTTTCATGCAACGCGCGTCTGATGCCGTGGGTTGGCCAAGCCACATGCTTGCTCAGGGCCTGCGTGGCTGAAGCCTCTTGCAGAGCTAACCCCCCTCAGACTCTTCCCCGGCGCACACGGCGCCAGACTCCGCGACGTTGTCGAATGGCTTGAAGCACAAAGGGCAGGCCTGGCTACGCGTCTGAGTCGCTTGATTTTGTAAATGTCAAGCACGTAAAGGGCCTGCCATCCAAAGGCATCCAACGATGTGTGTTCAAGTTTCATTGGAGACAGTCGTTCTCGCGCGCGGCCCAAGAGAATAGTACTCACAGTTTCAGGAGCAACAAGACATCACGCTCAAACGGCAGCTCAGCTGGAATTGCTTTCCTTTGTGCCTACAACCTGGGCCCCTTCATATGGGTAAGCATGCATTTCCGGGCTCAAATCTGGCGTGAATCATGCCGGCAGGGCGCAGGGCTGCTTTGCCTTGACACAACAGGCGGGGAAAGCAAGAGTGGCAGTGAGGCAGGAAACGACGCCAAACAACGCACACCAAACGAACCCGGCGTGCTTGAAAACGGAAACGCACAAACTGCACATCTGGGAAAATCGAACAAACCCCGTGCAACAAAACGCACTGTGTACCTTTGCTTCGCCGCCTGACATTCATTTCTGCAAGAATTATCTTTCGTCCCACACGTGTCATCCGTCCCGGTGCCTGCACATTCTGATCCTTGACATCCACTATCTGGCGCCAGCCCACACATGTGGTTCTTTTCTAAGGGGTACGCCTCTTGAGATTCTGAATCCCGAATCCCGTCGAGATGGGGATCTGAATGCTTCTTTCGAATCCCGAAAGCAGCGGCGATCCGTGGATTGCTCAACTTGTCGGATTACGCATGGACCATACCTGTATACCCCTCAAGGGCAAACCAGCAAATCATGGCGATCTCACAGATTGGGCAAACTCGAGCTCACCCAGGAAGGGGATGTCCTCATTTCCAGTTCTCCGGCTACAAATTGTTGGTCAGTAACCCTTTCTATCCACTAGCCCTGCCTGCGACCACACCATTCCCGTCCAACCAGCGATCGATATTTGTCGTCACTGCGTTGCGATCAATCTTGGCAAAATATGGCGAGCTCAAACACCAGTACTGTTTGTGCCCGCATGACTGTTCATTGAGAAACCACCTGACACGCCACTCCAAGAACAACTCCCTTGTTGAAGGCTAAGGGCTCTACAAGCACAGGTCGGCATATAGGATTCCTGTGTGCCAAAGTTTGTTGTTAGTCCCCCTGCTTCTGTAGTCAGAAAATTCTGAAAACATGCTGAGCCGATTCCCTTCCCTCGCCTCCGTGGCTTGAGGTGGAGTGGTGATGGCTGTTGCGCGGCAGGCGCCACGGAACTTCCCACGCCCTCCGAGAACGGTGGTTGGCAGACTTGCTGAAGAACACACTACAGAGTGACCATCCGGCTAACATGCAGTCATGAAGGGACACGGTTTCGTTGTTTCAGTGACGCCTTTGGGGGGTTGGGTGAGTCAGGTGAAGACAGGGTGAGGCATTGCAGGTTGAACATCTACATGGTAGGCGCCTAAGTGGTTGGCTACCAAATCTGTGGACCTGCACGGTCCAAATCACGGGTGCAGTGGGTGCAGTTGGCTTGTTCTTATTTTCCATGCCTCCATTTAAAGCACGCCTTGCTGAAAGCTACCGCCAGGTGTTTGAGCCACGTTTTACTTCAAGGTAGATTTCCACGCCGGTCACGTCTGGGATGCGAAGTTTGAGCCACCCGGAATTCAAGCGATCGCAAGATGGGAAATCCCATTCTAATGTGTACAGTCTCCACTTTCAGGCTAATGGTGGGCCCTTAGTTCGGGGCATCCCCATTTTAGATGATAATCCCACAATAAGATGCCCTTAAAAAGCCATCCATTTGAGGGAACATACTGAGAATCCTCTAGATGACTTGAAGCCCGTGCCTCGATGAGTCCTCTGCCAAACCTGGGCGGCCACCTTGAAGGCACATGGGACGCGGCTCTCAATGTTAAGAAGTTGAAGGTCCTTGCTAAGCTGATGCTATCCTGAGCAGTCCCTCGGAGGCCTCCAAACACCAAGCATCCGTGCTCTGCGTTCAAATGACAATGGGGCACACTAAACGAACGACTTTGGGGCTACTCCTTCAACGAGACCATGTTGAAACACTAAAACTGTCAGCATTGGGGGAGGGGACAGAGTTACTCTGAAGGCTTTTACTCACTTCACGTTCTAGAATCGACAAGTAAATATCCATCTACTTGGTAACAATCATCTTTCGCTAAATCTACCAACAACTTGAGATGGATACCCAAGATGTGAAGTGAAGATCTGTCCGCTAGGCCTGTGCGCCGGGGCCAACTTTCACAAGTTCATTCTCTTCACGATTGGCCCCTCAGAACCGAGCAGCAGCACCCACCGGCGCAGCGCCCCTGGCAGCCAGTCCGCACCGCCGGACGGGCAGAAAGCACGTTGAGACATACTGAATGAAACAAGATAAAATACAAACAAGCTGAGTCATGTCTTTGGTTAGCATCCTGTGCCACCCTGAGCATTGGTTGAAAACCCTGATGGCTAAGCCTGCCCACGAACAAAGAGTTTCAACACATTCACTGGCTCAGCAAGTGACATCCTCAAAATGTCACAAAATGCCCCTCTAGATGGTGGTCTGAAAGGCAACCCCTTAAAAGGCACTATTGATAACCTCTAAGAGACCCTGTGAGCAGGGCAAACCACACAAACCGCACGGGACCTGCCGGGAACTCTTGACCATGCAAGTTGTTGCAGCTTTGTATTCTCAGGGGTGCTTCACGATTTTGCTCACCCATGCTACCCGGCTGCCACCCTCCCCCCTTTGTGCTTTTCGTGGGGCGTGTTGATAGCAAACGGATCCATTGGGAGGGCGGCCCCAAGCCCGCGCCAGGTCAAAGCGCTCAGTGCGGGGAAGCCTGGCGCGCGAGCCAACGGCCCCTATGTGGATGGACAAAACCCACTTCGCACCAGCTGGATGAAACCTTGTGACTGGGGGTACTGGTGCAGGATACCGTCCATCCACAGGCAAAATACGGGCAACCGCGGAGGCTTGGGTTGCTCTTGGCTTCCTTTCAGGATAAATAGCTGTCGCCAGGTTGGCATTGCAGGTCGAACGCCGGCAAGCCGGGAAGGCTTTAGGTAACAAAGTGCTGTACAAGCCTTTCTTCCACATCTGCTGCAGCGGGTTCCGTTCCAAGCCAACTCAAAAATAGGCATGTGAAACGGATATGCCTCGCTTGACCATGAATCAACTCCTTGTGGGTTGACGACCCAAGCGCATTGCCCCATTTGCTGAATTCATTGTTGCGACGGCCGAAACTGGTAAGCCCACATGCATTGGCGCGAGGTCATTGCTGCTGTTCGGCATCAACCTCTAAACAAGTTGCTCATAAAGTGCGAAGAAATTTCCAGAACGGAATCCCATTCAACAGCGAACTGAGCCCTGCTGCAATCCAGGTTCCTGCAAAATGCGACTCAATGTTCAAAGGCCGCGGTACGTGCAGGGAAGTTGAAACAACAAAAGGGAGCATCCTCTGCCGCGTTTATGCTTGAAATCCTGCCCGCATCCTGTGCAAAAGGCCAGGGGCCGCCATTTCCAGTTGGAGGCCAGATTCTGGCCATGGGTGGTTGGTTTGGTTTGCGATCTTGGCTCTCAAACACCCGCCAAGACCCACCTGGGAGTGTGAAATCCCTATTCGCCCCTCTATTTGCCTTGTTGCGCTGGGCCGTGGCAGTGCGCGGGCTGAGGCGCCTGAGAGCGGCCAGGAAGCGCAGGAAACGCGCTGGCACACCTAAATCTCCGATACAACATCCAGCTCTCGGCTCGCTCATGCAACCCTGCAAACAGTGGAGCAAGACAAGTCGTAAAATGGCACATCACGCGAACACAGTCAATGAACCCTAGGGCCTTGAGTAGCCGCTGGTCACACAGCAGGCAAGGCGCCTTTTGGAAGCCGTGCAGGCCAAAGCAGCGAGATCTGTAGGCCAAAGTAGCAACGGCTCGAGGTTGCCCCGCGCGTTCAAAAAGCGCGGGGTCGCTGTCAACCTCGTGCCATGCTAACAGGGGTCCTCTTGCAAGCCAAATAACATATTGAAGCAACTCAGGCTCAAGCTGAGAATGGCTTTGCGCCGCAGGATCCCCGTTCAAACTGCCATACGCTACAGGCAGTGGACTCTGCCCATACCGCGAAAAACATGGCGCACAAAGCGCACAGCTTCTGAAATAATCGGCTTCTCGGTGCGGCGTGTCGTTCGCAGCCGCCCTCTGTGGAAACCTGCCCCTCTGTCGAATCTGGCGTGTGAGAATGGGGTCAGGGAAGGAGAGTAGATTCCGCTTCGAAAAGCTTCTAGGATCAAGTTCCCTCACTTACAATTTCCGCAGCAGCCTAATGGCTTGCCGCGCAATCCATACATCAACACATAAGCCAACCTGTAGCCCCCTTTTGGATGCACACCATGATCCATTTTATAACACTGGTCCGTGTTCTGAAACGATGCACGTGCCACTGTGCCCAAGCACTCGTAGCAAGCGCATACCACCCTTGGGTCGATTCAGGTTGCCAAGCACCGACTCAAAGCACCGCAGGACTTCTGCACCTTCTTGTGAACCACAAAGAGCGACCCTTCAAGCCTCTAGCGACTGAGCGTCCAAGTGATGGACTTGCACCCTGGACCAAAGATGGGGTTGGACAAACGAATCGTAAGCACACATGCCCCATACAACCTCCTCAGTCAGGCCAATGCCCGAGACACGCTAAACATCGCTAAACAAACTTGAGCACCCCCTCCAAGCCTACTGAGTCGCGTTTACCAGGCACTGGACATGGTGCGAGCTTCAAGGCTTTCAATTTCGACAGATGACCAAGTGAACGCAATCACTCTTACAAACCTGCAGGGAATAACAGCTGAATAACTCCAGACTTCTATTGACAAATTCTCCGGCATGAACGCCATGTCATGAGCACTGAACTTCAAATCGCAAAGGAAGCTTGTTCGTTCCCAGGCGATTCCAAGACCCAAGGGTGGCAAATAAATCACGGAACCAGAGGGGGGGCTCCAAAACGTGCCCAAAGTCCCCCGAAGTCGCGGTGAGCCACTAGTGCCTCTCTGGCTGGCTTCGCCCCAGCGCAAGTCCCAGCGCGTCTCGCAGACTTGCGCCCAAAGGGCGCAAACACGGAGAACACCGAAACATCACCTGCAAAGCATCCAACAGGTTGAACCAAACCCTGAGGCAACTCGAGCCAAGCGAGACGTAAGGGGGCTGGCCACTTTCGAACTTGCCCTTCGCCACTTTGGCATCGGCAAAGTTGGGATCGTAAAGCCATCCATCAGTGTGGTAGCGGGGGGGCCATTTCAAAGTGAATTAGAGCGCTTGGGCGGTCTGTGGAGGTCCAATGCCCCCCCAACCAAGGTGGATGTCTTGAAGATCTAATTTTCAAACCACTCTTGGCAGAATCAGAAATGTCACAGCGGGCGCAGGAACTGCCGCATCTCTCCAGGATTCCCTGAAGCTCGCGCGCGCGATTTTCCCGGCCCATGCAGCTAAAAATGCTGCATGCTGCGATCCACTTGGGATGTACCGTATCTACAGGACGTACACGAGCCGTGTGCGAGTTGGCTTTTGCTGATTGCAAAAGAACTGCGAGGTTTGCGTGCCAGCAACTGACCGAAGTGTGTACCCGTGGCAACTGGGCCTTGCATCCAGAAGGCGCAAGAAAGATCGGGATTTCCAGCAATTTCCGGAACTTCTGAAATGTTGTCAATACTGGCCCGGGGCTAAGGTGTCCAATTCAGCTGAGTCCACTGAGCTGAAGCGACGCAATGAAGCACTGATTCGTAAAAGACCCCAAACCATAAGAATTCAGGTGATAAACCTCCTCAGAACTGCCCCATGCACCCCCGCAACATACTTACACACCCTGCTTCTTCCGCGTGGGAACATGGCCGCCGATGACGGTCGTCCACTGTCCGGCGTGGAAGCTGCAGGCTTGGCTGCAACGTTGACTGAATGTTGAGCGAGTGTTGAAGCTAAGGTTGACCGAGGCTAGCCGGTAGTTCTAGTGCGACAAGGCGCCGCGAGAGCGCTTCGACACGGACAGGGTTTGCCGAGCTCAAGGCACATTCGCACGGCGCCACAGCGAGAGCGCTTCGACACGCACGATCTCCACAGAGGGTTTGCCGAGCTCAAAACACACTCGCGCAGCGTGAGGGCACTTTGACATGGATCAGCACACAAGTCCGAAAATCGGCACGACGCCACAGCGAGAGCGTTCGTGCAAAACTGTCGTACGCAAAACCCCTTTTTGCAAGAACCACCATGGTTTCAGAGCTCCGGCTGCCCAAGCGTTGGCCTTCGCCGCATAGTGTCCCTGCCATCAAAAAATGCATCGCTTTTAGGAGAACGCGTTTGGCGCTCAAAGAACACGACACGCCCTTCGGAACTGTGCCCCTGTCATAAAAAAACACAACGTCACGTTGAAAAACTCGCATGGCGCTGCCGCAAGAGCGCTTTTTCGTAATAAGGCGCATATCGTGCGAGACTGTCGCATCGAAGGCAACTTTTGCGCACACTGCCCACACTTTGAGCGCGAACGGTCGATCTAACCCAGCCTTACCCCTTAGCGTAAGAACCTCTTAGTGTCAACATTGTCAACCCTGCTTGGGGAGACTCTTGTGGCGATTGAAAACTGGGTTCCCCTACTTGTCCTGGCCAGAGGCCCCTAATAGTATTGGGCTTAACTAGTGGCGCGTTAACAGAATTCTGACCCCTCCACCGCGTGATGAATAACACGCGCAAGCGCCTTGCTCTGCGCAAGTTGTCTGCAAATTCTCTGCGCAACAACGTTCTGCGCAGGTTAGTGCTGGGCGAAAGTTGCTGGCGCAATGGCTCGTGCAAGTTGCTCTGCACCGATGTTCAGCGCACATTGCTCTGCGCAAGTATCCAGGTTGCTCTGCGCAAGACCGGCTCTCTACGTGCGCGGAAACCCTTTCCTCTATAGAAACCAACCTTCCACACCCAAGCCAGTCGCACCCAGACTACACCCACGATGTTCAGCGCACATTGCTCTGCGCAAGTATCCAAGTTGCTCTGCGCAAGACCGGCTCTCTACACGCGCGGAAACCCTTTCCTCTATAGAAGCCAACATTCCACACCCAAGCTAGTCGCACCGAGACTTTACCCACGATACTCATGTGCAGGCGATCGTGTCCGGACTATACCCGGACTATTCCCAGGGACTACTTGGCTCTGCAAGTTGGCTCTGTGCAGATAGCTCTGTGAAACTGACTCTGTGCAACTGGCTCTGCGCAAATGGCTCTGGGCCAGTTGCTCTGTGCAAGTTGGTCTAACGATGTCTGACGGCTCTACGCAAGTTGCTCTGTGAGAAGCTGTCCAAGCAAGCACCCTCGGACTACTGCCCAGTGGCCAGTAAAGTGGCCGGTAAATCAAGATTTTGGGACAAGAAGACTGTAGTTACAAAAACTACTGTCTTTCATTTTCTTTGCGGGATGCCCATGCTCACGACTCGAAAGAGACAGCGTGTCAGCGACATGCAGTAGCAAGCAAGCTCTACGTAGTGACGCGCATGGACTTGCATCACTGCGTGTCTTCGCGTGTCACTTGCGTGTCACTTGCGTGTCACTTGCGTGTCACTTGCGTGTCACTTGCGTGTCACTTGCGTGTCACTTGCGTGTCACTTGCGTTTCAGTATGTCAGAACAACAGTAGATCGCAGCGAACAATGGTAGTCTTACCGTGTCACTGCGTGTCACTGCGTGTCACTGCGTGTCACCTGCGTGTCACCGCGAGTCACCTTCCTGTCGGGGCTTGGGAAGGGGTAGGGCTATAAGCTTTGTTTTGCTGTTTGGGAAACAACGGTAGGTCGGGGATCTACTGTTGTTGGTGTTTTTTTTGCGGAACTACCGCCAAATGGGCCGTAGTCACCAAGATAAAACGAAAGCAGTAGTCAGAGGGTGCTGGAGGGTTTAGTTTCGGTTTCAGTCCTCTTCGGTCCTCTTCAATCTTCTTCGGCGCTCTCCGGTCCTCTCCGGTTCGTATTGGTTTAGTATAGTTTAGCGATTTCCCTCGTCCAATTCTTACTTTTGAGTATCTGGGCCTTAGCTGTACTTTCCACTCGAAAATTGTTGGCTGGGCTTTTCAAGAAGGCGTAGATTGGGGCGCACGGATCGGCTTTGGGAGTTTGATGTAACTAGTGGAGTATTGGAATAGACTTGCTTCCTGTCGCCTTAGTACTGGTTTAGTACTGGTTTCAAGTTTGCTATTCGGAAGTTTCTGCCGGGGGCTTGCTTTTGTTTCATTGCAATCGCCCTTTGTCAATCCCAACGGATTTGCAAGACTGCTTGAGACTTGGCAACATGCTTGCAAGCTGCTTGTTTGAGTCGGCAAAAGTCTAGCTGGCCCAGACAAAGTGCCACAGCATGCACCTCGGCGCCTATGCGCGCTGGCGGCATGCCTGGAAAGCAGCCAATCTTTGTGCGCAGCTTTCGCCGCTCGAATGTACAATGTGCCAAGCACAGCCTCTTTTACATTGCGGAGCCGAAGCACATCAATCACGCCCAAGTGGCCACTGACAAAAAGAAGCCTGAAGAGTCTGTTGCGCATTCACACACCCAAACACCCTCCCCCCGGCCAAACAAAGGAACGCATCTGACCTCTTGCGCGTTGGAAGGCTGCGCCTCCGCGCACTCCCCTGGATGTGCGGTTCACCCGCACGGACCCTCAGCGCTTCTCAAA